TGTCTTAATTTATCTTTTAAGGAGATTTGAGGCATTTGTACAAATGGGAAAGAGCCCCACATGCGAATTGCTTTATGACTGGGGAACGACAAACTGTACTGTTGGTGATCTTGTGGATCTGCTGATTAGGAATCAATTCCTAGCACCAGCAAACCTCTTACTTCCAGGTAACTGATACTTTTTTACATTTTGTACTGTGTTCTCAGTTTTCTATGATGCTAAAGAGCTTCACAGTAATTTGAAAATCAGAAAGCATTAATTGAAAACAACTGGAAATGGATGTATTTCCCATTATTTGTAATAACAGTTTCATAGAAACTGTTTAGTATGTTTCAAGTTTAAGTAAGAGCCATACAGTTTACATACGGTGGCAGAATATAACCTTCTCGTGATGCTTATGTGTCTCTTAATCTTAGTAACTACTGGCATTAATGTTATTTGTTTTTTCTGATTCCTAATACAGTTAACGCTTTTTCTAAATTCCATTTTCAGAAGCTGTAAGGATGGCACAAGAAGTTACATTACCTCTTTCTTCACAGGAAACCTTGCCTATACATGAGAAGCAGCTGGCTGTACAGGAAAAAGAAGTGGCATCTGTAAAGCCTGTTTTAGCTCTGAGTACTGAGAAGCAACATTCAGCTCCTTCCTGCTTCAGTCAAGAAAACAGTGACTCACAGTCAGGTACCACAGGTAGGTGCTTAGTTTGGTAGAATTAAGTACAATCTTTTTTGCTGATCTGTCCTTCACCCCATTTGAAATAAGTCATAGGAGTGCATTACAGTGATGATTATGTTCCCATCATTGTGCAGCCATAGGAAATGTCATCTTGCTTTTGCTCTTGTTCTGTGTGACCGTGAGTTTAGCCTGGGTAATAAGGCATCTAAATACAAGTTGCACCTTGCCACTAAGGCAACTACTGTGATGGAAAACCTGACTTTTAATTAAATTGCAATTTATTTTGTGCTACAGATAATCCTGTTGCCCTTTTTAGATTTTGTAGACTGATTAGCATCTTGTGTTTCAAAGCTGAATTTTGTATATCAGAAATGACTAAGAATGTTGGAGAAGAGATGATTAAAGAAAGCATTATAGGAAAGCGCATGATTGGTCTGTTCCTTCCTAGAGTTCCACTTTTGGACTGCTGCCAGAAACATGATGTGATTTTTACATCTGACACAGCATGGCGCTCTCTGCGATCTGCTGCACATTTAACTTCTATTACCTGTGTTACTAGTATTAACAAAAAATACAATCAGAAAGCTGCTACAGGGCTGGTTGTGAAGAAAATTATGTGTAGCTGATTGTATTATTTATCTGCATTTCGTTTTTTTTCTGGTATCTTCATCACAGTACTGGAAGTAGGGCTCCACTATGTCAGGATTTGCATGGTATCATGCTTTTGGTTTAATAGAACTGAAGCAGAGAATCTATTCAATGGACTTGTTCTTAAGTGAAAACATAGTTGTGCTAAATGGCAAACGTGTCTTTCAGATTTCTGTAATTTTTGGTTTCATGACTTGGAAAGTATTACAAATAATTTTGATGCACGGCCAGAATCAGCGGGAGGTAATAAACTGGGAGAAGGTGGCTTTGGCGTTGTGTTCAAAGGCTACATCAATGGCAGAAACGTGGCTGTCAAGAAGCTTGTTGCTGTGAGTTGTCCTGGGCATTTTTCCTTTTAATGACTGTGTCCTTCATAGTATAGACTTGTGTATCTGTGGAAAGTGTTTAATGATACACTTGAAAAAGCATCACTGTGTTAAGTATTAGTTGAGTTGAGATCCTTATCCTGTAGTCCCATGAGTGGTGTCATCAGCACGGTCACGAAAGATGAAGTCTTGCCCTTTCTGTAGCTCTCCTTTGAGTGGCTCAAGCAAGTTTTCTGGAAAAGCAGAGCTCCTCCAGTTCCCCTCTCTCCCCTGCACACAAGAAGTGGCAGAAGGGAAGGGATGCTGGGGAGGTTTCCCTTTCAGAATCAAATGAACTGTTCACAAGCTAAATAGGTATTGCCACAGAATTTTAGTCTTCATAACCAATGGTTAGTGTGATTAATTAATTTTGTAATGGGTAGGTGCTATTAGTGGGTAACTGCAGTCAAATAAAATTAGTAAGTTGGTGACTGTGCTGAAACCGGATCTGTTTGTCCTATAATACTGTGTTACAAGGAATTAAAAATCGTGCTCTGATCTTTATTTTTGAGTTGAGTGAAAAAAAGACTGTAAACAGTTAAGTAGTTGTTACATGTAACTAATCTGAAGAAAGGCTTACAATTCCGATTATTTTTTTGTCAACAGCTGTGCATTTTAATATGACCAGCGATATTAACGTCAAATGCTTCTTTTTGCAGATGGTTGATGTCAGCGTTCAAGACTTGAAACAGCAATTCGATCAAGAAATAAAAATGATGGCAAAGTGAGTACAGTGTTATACAATGTCATTATAGCCTTTTGTGGGAATTTAAGTTGGCGGATAACACATTAGCTAGTGTGATCCCTTGGTTTTGTCTTTCTGGCATAACTTAACAATTTTCACGTTAAGTGAGAATGTTTCATATACAACATGACTGACTGTATTTTGTTCGTTTTAAAACACCACTGCAGAAACCTGGCTATGTGAAGTAAGGCTGGAACAAGTTCCCTCGATTTGGGATCAAGTTCCCTCTGTCTTGTATTTTCCTCAGATGTTGGGAGTCGTTCAGAGCTCGTATGAATAGATTCTTATTTTTCTTTTGCTATAGGTGTCAGCACGAGAATCTAGTAGAATTGCTTGGTTTCTCAAGTGATGGTGCTCAGCCGTGTCTGGTGTATGAATACATGCCCAACGGTTCGTTGCTCGACAGACTTGCTTGTTTGGTAAGTAAAATCTTTTCTAGCTTCCCATTGTCTGTCTTTGCTGAAGTATAGGTAGCTACGAAATATCTTTGAAACAGTACTGAACTGTAATGGCCAAACGATATTTTACTACTTTCTTCTGTGTTCTAGAAGACAAATACGACATACAAGTATTCTTCCAGTAATGTTTGATATAAATATTTTAGACGCGTAAAAGTCAAAGTGGGCTGACAATACAATGTCATAAACCACTACCTGAAGTGGCACAGGAGCTTGGACTTGCTCTGCCTGCGTGGGGTGGAGCAGAGGGTGCTGCAGTGTTGTTCCTGGTTCTGACATTGGCACGTTCTCTGCTGCTTCTTTAGATTCTGTGTTGTGAAATCACCCTTTGTTCATTGCCCTTGCAATAGTGGTTATAACACTGTGTTCGTAGCCTGAGTATCTCTTTCTGAAGTGCCTAAATAAATGGGAAACACTTTTTTTTTTTAATTAGTATTTTGCATAGATGCAGTGCTTTCTTCTGAGTTAATCAAATGACCTGTCTTCTAGCCTTGGCCTAATAGTAATAAATAATAAGTTACTTTGTTTCTGGTGAGGCAACTGTGTATAAAGGACAAGGTCACTTTTTCCAGTGAAACAATAGTAAGCCAGATTTAATTTAGTAGTTGAGTTTCCATGTTAGTTTGTCGAAGGAGTTAAATCTGCTTCATACTAAGCAAATGCAGCTTCTGAGGTTATAATCTGGTGAACATTTTAAAATGGTGCTACTTTGATCACCCATGCCCCCAGACCTAAAAAATGTCGTTTTACCTTTTTCTGCACTGATCTTCCTGTTGTACTGACTGAAGCATTTAGTAGTTGGAGAAAGAGCTGGGTTTAGGAACTGATCAGGCTGAAAAAATACTTGGTGAAAAAAATTTTGGTTTTCAGCTGGAGGCATTTCCTCTGCAAGGCTGCACAAATGCTTCTGCCCCAACAGGAAAGAAGTGGTATTAGGATGAGAATGAGAAGGTCCCTGCCCGGCGCGGCAAGCCTGCCCCCTCTGCTCCCGCAACTACCTCCCAGGTTCCGTTACACAACAGATATGAAGCTCTGCAAGTGGAACCAACCCCCAGGGAGGATGTCGATACACACACGCTAGTATCCTTCCCTAGGACCACACATATCATCAAGACATCCTCCGTTATGAAGAAAAGGCGGGTGATTGTTTTAGGAGACTCCCTTTTGAGGGGTGTGGAGGGCCAGATTTGTAGACCTGACCCTTTACACAGGGAGGTCTGCTCCCTTCCTGGGGCAACAATTAGGGATGTGATAAAAAAACTCCCATCTATAGTCAGGCCCACCAATTACTACCCTCTTCTTATTTTCCAAGTTGGAATGGATGACATTAGGAAAAGAAACATCCGGACTATTAAGAAAGACCTCAGGGTTTTGGGAAGAATGTTGAAGGGATCGGGGGCCCAAGTAATATTCTCTTCTATCATACCGACTCTGGGACATGACACGGGATGGAAAACAAAGATCGAGGATTTAAATAATTGGCTGCAAAAGTGGTGTGAGGAAAACAACCTAGGCTTCTTTAACCACGGGCTGACCTTAATGCCAGACCTTCTATCTAGGGATGGGGCGGGTTTGTCTCCACAGGGGGAAAAGGCTGCTCGCTACAGAACTAGCTGGGATCATCAACAGGGCTTTAAACTAGATGTGAAGGGGGTGGGGGATATTGTCAGACTTAGAGGATTAACAGCCGAGGACGGCCCTCCATTGTCTGATGAAGGGAGTGTAGGCAGGTGCCTTCGGCCTGCTGCCTCAGTGATAGCAGGGGGTGATATGTGTAGTCAGGAGCAACACACAAGTTGCCTAGAGGTAAAAGAGAATCCC